AAATTATCTAAATGTAAGTGGTATTTTGCTTAAGATAATTTCCTAACGCCTAGATAAATTAAAACTATCAAAATTCAAATTTCACGAAAGCTCAAAACAAGCTGACCACATTTTCGATGCAATATAGGCAATTTTCTTACATATTGCAATTATTCTCAGTGATCTTTGATGTCGGTAGCATTCATTATATTTGTCTATCATTTTTCGCTAAAATATAATAAATATTTCAAATTAATGACGTGTTAAATACATAATAGCTTACGTAATTCTGCTTGTTAAGCCCCGTGAGTTCGTATTGACATTGCATAAAGAAGTATTGATAGAGCAGTGCCCATGTTTATATTAGAATATGTGCGGTGTGTACGTATAATAATCGCTAATGGCGTGCAAATACGAAAAGAATGAATCACATGTTATATCTGCAAAAAATTATAACTATTTTTATTAGTAAACATAGTTTAATTTGCTACGAAAATAATTAGTTACGTCATTTTATCAATATGAGCAATTATTCACGATTTCATCGAATAACAAAACTTAAATTAATACATACATAAATTAGCTATCATAGAGCTCTTATTATTTTCATTTTTCAACTTCCAATAGAGTGAGTTATGGTAATCGCAAAAAAATCTAAAATAAAAATTCTAATATATCTCTAGGTTTCAAAGGTTTCTAAATTTGTTGGTATACCTTAGAAAAAATGTATGCGTGTGTATGTGTGTGTGTGTGTGTGTGCGGATATAAATTTTTGTTGACGATTTCGGGAACACGTATTCTAATAACGGAAAAAACATTCGATTTGTATTAATGAGAAGACGTGTTGATTAATTTTTGGCAAAGACAGGTCTAGCCGTTTTGAAGATACGAGGCAAAAAGAGCCAAAAGTAGTAACAAATTTTGAGAAAACGAAGCGTCCGTTTTCCAATTTGGATAATTCAAAAAACCTTTTACTTCTATCGACAAACAAAAATAATTTTTGCGAAGGCAGGTCTGTCGGTTGTAGAGATCAAGTGAAAAATGTATATTATATTTTTGTAGCCATTTTATAAAGATTATTATAATAAGTATGAATTATGTTTACCGTTAGACTTACCGTTAGACTGCGATGCGGAGCTTATGCGCTTCGATTGCTTTGAAAATAGTTCAAAATTTTCAGAAAAATTCGAAGTATAAAAAAATTGTGAAATACAAAAAATGAGTCAAATATTTCAAAACAGCCATTTTTTTTTCAAAAAAATTTAATTCTCAAAGATCTCATTTTTTTCAAAGTTTTCAAAAAAAATTCAAAGTTTTTTTTTTTAATTTAATTTTTGGTACGGGAAGTTCCAGTAATTTGCCTTAGGCACGTTGCCCTGCACTACTAGTTACATTTTTACTTTGAATTTTTTATGAAGTTCATATTCATTTTATCTCAGCAAAATTTTTTATTAAAAAATGAGAATGAAAACTACATTCTTTCGATTTGTTATGGTAAAAAAAAAATTAACTGCTTTTCTGAATGCTTTATAAATTAATTGAGGATTAAAATAGTATTTTAAATTTTAGTGGGAAATAATATTTCACTGTGTTATTTTTAAATATCAATCAATATATATCATGAATCTGAATGAATGAATTTCATTCTAATATATGGGTGTTCCATAGTGTGATGGTTAAACTAACCGACCCATATGGACGTGTCTTGAGTTTGAACCCCGCTCTAACAACATGACATCGTGCAGTAGCGATGTTCATTTTTGCTTGAAAAATATAGATTAAAAATATGTTTTCAATTGGAAATATCTTATTTGCACTGTAGTGTAAAATGAAAATGGAAAATCTGTTTTACTATACTTTCTTGAATCGAGTTCTAGTTTAAATCAGCTCACGGACCTGCCTTAGGACAGTACTACTCATTATATCATGAATCAGGCCAAGCAAAAATAGATTAATTATATTAATTATATTTATGGATAAAAACTTCATCCGGTTTAATAAAGCTTTCCAGATAGCACCTTTACTATATGTGAATTGGTCAATTTAATAACGTAAATTGTTCATATGTTTCTCACAATAAAAAACATTAACAGGCTGCTTCAGTTGTACTTACGTTATATTTACATAAAAAAGATACTATTAATTTACATAGTTAGAGTAAAAGTACATCAAAGCTTTCAAGCTTTAAAGCTCTAAACTTTCCAAGCCATATAGTTTGCATCATTATGCTTTATAGAGCTATTTTATTCTTTGTATTCAGATATTCTGCTGAGCACAAAATCGAGGCTTAGTACAGTCGTTATTTGCTGTATGAAGTAAAAATTTATCATTTTAAAATACATGTTTTGATTATTTTTTTGCAAAATAGGTAAAAACATCATCGAAAAATATTTTATTAGTTTTTCTTGCAATTTCAGTTTCAACAAATAAAACTTATGGAAACAAAGTCAGAAATGTTTGTAGCATTTAGGAATGAATTGTAAAGTAATAATATGAAAAAAAAATAATATTATTCATAAATGAATTAATACAAAAAATAATAAAAACATGACCTTCCAAAAGGTTTTTCTGTTTCCCTCTAATGTAAATTTTACTTTGTCAATTTTGATTAATTAATTTTCAACTGCAACATCTCTATTACGTGTCGCTAATTAAATTCTGAACTATTCGCGAAAGCGTGCGCTCCGTTTGATAAATAATTAATGTAACATTGTAATTATGAAAATCATTGACAGGGCTTTCAATATTATCTTTACAAAAATTCAATTCCTAGCATAGACTTATGATAAACATATTTCTCAATTGGTCTATCTATAATAAAAATATTTGTGTTGGATTTTCTTCAAAATTTGGTATTTTATTTATAAGTTTGTTTATATTGTTAAATTTATATCACAAATCACGTACTTTACGTAGAAGATATTATTCTGGAAATTACAAGCATTACTGTAAATAATCGCAGTTGACAATATGAAACCGAATCAGATGTACGCAACCTAAAGACTAAAACATCAAAAAAATTAAGTTTGTTGATTCATTGATCAATTTATTCAAGACTATTGATCATATTTTTGTATTTTTATTTATTAAGAATCAATTGCAATTATCATAAACATAGATTAGGAATAAATCCTGAATAAACATTTAGTAATTTGATAACAAAGCATATCTCAGTTTTATTATGAAAGTTGTTTTGAGTATGTTTAAATATGCGTTTTAAGAGAAACTAGTGGGGCGCATGGCATCGTGCCTTAAGGCAAATTGCTGGAACTTCCCGTACCAATTTTTTTTTTTAAAGATTAACATTTTTGAAAAAAATATTACTCTGAAAAAAATAGAATTTTGAGAAACTATAAATTTTTGAAAACATTTCCTTTTTTTAAAAAAAAAAAGACTTTTTGAAGAAAAATTTATTTTGAAATATTTTGGAAATTCTGACCTTTATTGAAAACAATCGTACTGCTTTAACTGCATAGAGACGAAATATCAAAGCGCGCAAGCGCCGCGTCGCCGTCTAACGGATAAACATTGGTACGGAACTCATAAGAATGTAAACAAAATTGATACTTATTTTTAAAATCTCTATAAAATATTTGATAATTTGATGCGCATATGTCTAATGATCATTTTTGACCGACAAATGGCTTTTTTTTTAATTTTTTTACTAGATCTCCGAAACCGCTGGACTTGCCTTCATAAAAATTTGATCATTATTTCATCTTGTTAATACAAGTAAAATGTTTTTTAAATTATTCAATTCGGACGCTCCGTTCTCTTAAAAACTGTTACCATTTTTGGCACTTTTTGCCCCATATCTTCGAAACGGCTAGACCTGCCTGCGCCAAAAACTAATCAGCACGTCTTCTTATCAATACGAATCGAATGTTTTTTGAATTATTCAAATCGCTTCATCCGTGTTCCCGAAATCGTCGACAAAAATTTGTATCCGCACACACACACATACACACACATACACACATGTTCAGGAGGTTTTGAAACGTAAAGATATATAAAAATTTTCATTTTCGATTTTTTTGCGATTTCTATAACTTGCCCTACGTGAAGTTAAAAAAGAACCCAACTTACCCACAATTTAAATTAATTTAGGTAAAGCATTATTTTTACAATAAAATTAAAAATAATTAATATAAACCTGTAATGAATTAAATAACACAAATTATTCATTGTTATTACAATTTACGAAAAGAATGTTTTTTTATTTATTCCTAATATTAAACATTTTGAGATATTTTTAATTATAATTTTAGTGAATGTACAATTTGACTCTATAAAAAAAAAAAAGCTCGAAGTTACCAAAGTAAAAAACATTACACATCCTCAAACAAAAATTTGAAATCGTAAAATTATATAAAAAGTTATGCCAAAGTACAACCTGATTGACTAATAGCTGTTAATGGAACTGCATTCATTTTGCTGAATATTGTAATGTGATTTTTTTAAAGAATTGTCAAACTTTTTATTCCACATGTTCGATATTGTATACAATTTTTCTATTATATATATGTGTAAATGCACATGACAATAAATGCAAAATATTTAATGAAAAAGTTTAATTCCCAAAAGAAGATAACTTATGTATGAATCCACATTTATGTAACATTTATTTAAAAAAAAAACAAATTGTTTTTGAACTTAGCAACGTATATAAACATTTTTTTTAAAAAAAGGGGGATAGTTTGAATAAACTAATTTGAAATAAATAAAAAATACAAATAATAATAATAGTATTTACTTGAATAATCAATTATAAAAAAAATACCAATAATTGTCATTATATTTGCTCAAACTCATTGTCAGAGAATTTATCAAAGTTCGTTTTATTCTTCTCTAAGTTTATAAACAACTGCTCGATTCTATGAATCAGAAACCATGGTAATCCATGCTAATTAGTAATACATGTATTATCATCTTGTCCCCATACAAGTCAAAAAAATTTTTTTTACCAGTTTCTTTATAAAGAATCACAAGATCAGAGATCAGTACAGTCGCGTTGTAAGTGACCGAGTTAGAAGTTCTGTCGTTTTATTTGTGATATTCGTTAGAAGTTTATTGTAAAATAGTAGAAGCAATAAACATGAAGAGTTTGCTACTACTCGTAGCAGTTTTTGCTGCTGCAGCACACGCCTTACCCACGGCGGAACCAAGTTAGTTTTTAGCTATATCTTCGTATTTCAAAATGGATTAAAATATAAATATATATTAAAAATAGTATTTATATCAAAATATATATACGTATATATATATATATATATATATGTGTGTATACAATTATACATATGTATATATATACGTATATATATATAAAACCTTCAAAAGCTTAATATCAAATAGAAGGGTAAAAAAGCTGATTTTGTAGTGAATATGAACAAATTGGAAAATAACTATCAATTATTACGTTATTCATATAAATCAATATTTAAATATTATTTATTTAAAAATACATCTGGAAGTTTAGTCCTAATTTCCGTAATAATATTTTTAGAAAAGAAAAGATTAGGAAGAAAATTTTTAATGAAGAAATATGAGAGAACTTCGAGCTCTCTTTTTGTTTTCAGGAGCACTTAGATATGTGAATTTCAAATTTTGTATTTGGTTCGAAATAAAAATATTATTTTATAGATTACTTTTTAACCAAAATATTTATAATTATCATGTTTCATTTTGTAGAGTACTCTCTACATTTCCATAAGAGACTTATTGTTAGACTAATAATTTATATAATTGGAACTAGTACGAATCACCTACCATATCAGTATTAGTAATTTGTAAAGTGTAAGTAGTAGTAATTTTTAGGAATTTTGGGATTTTTTTTAAGGAAATGGGCAAACAAAGTACCTACAAAATTTTGAAGTATTTCAATATTTTTGTAGGAACTACTGATGATATGAAGTTAGATGACTGAACATATTGAAAAATATAATCTCTATAGATTTTAATTTTTTTATTTATTGTTGTGCCTTCTAAGATTCTATTCATATATTTTAAAATAAAAATTAGCTATCTTTGGTATCACATATATAGTTTTTTTGTTTTGAATGGGCCTGAAAAAGGTGATATATGATATACCCAGAAACGTTTCAATTATGTCATTATTGAAAAAATAGATGAATAAATATCATATATAATTATAAATTCCTTCCTCTGGAAATGTTTCAATTTCTGGAGTATATTTTTTTCAACCTGCGAAATATTAATGAATGTTATGTTTCATGTCAAATACTGCTTGATACTGAATTAAATTTGAATGATACAAAGTGTTAAATATACCTCTTTCATCTATAAAAATTCAAAATTGCAAGTTGTTAGAATCTTTTATGAAACAAGTCATTACATTAATGCATGCAAAATGTATTGATGCGCATTTTCTTTAGTTCAATGAAAATATTATTTGCAATAAATGTCAATTATAAATTATTTTTATGCTGCATTAAACATAGGTATTATATTTATTTTAAACAACGCTTATAATTAATCTTGATTAATGCAATAAAGTATACAGACAGAAAAAACATTTAATTGCATTATGCAAATATTTACAAAGCTTTGAACGAGATTTTTAATGAACGCTGATGTTTAATGAATATAAATATATGTTTAAAAGATAAAAAGTTTTTGATTAAATTTTTTATTGAAAATATAAATATTGAAATTTTCATTCACTATCGATTTTGCAACTATCAATTTTAATTGGCTATATGGTTATTGCGTTCAATATTATATTGTGAAGAGTTTATGAGGGGTTGATTATCAATAAGACGATAAAATTAATTATCGTCACAATATGTTTATAATAAATTTATAATTATTTGAAAAAACAATTAATATGTTGAATTTTTTGAAAACTGCTATCAAGCGCTAAACAGTATCTGAAAACAAAACTAATGAATTTATACTAAAAATTAATTAATGCATATTACATACGTATATATGTTTAGATAAACAATTGTATAACTTTTTAATTATTGATATTTTAAATGCTGAAATTATCTTCAAATTCAAACGTCAAGATTCAATATTTTTTAATCAGTTATTCAATTTCCTTGAACCTTGTGTGATAATCTTGAATATAACACGAATGTGCTAATATGATGTATCATTAAACATATATGATACTGATTTGAAATTTACATAAACGACATCAAATTTTTACGTAATATTATATACGTAAATATATTATTAGTTCTTGTAATCTTAATTGAAAGAGATTTTGTAGGTTTCTTTGTCATTTTAACGGTTACACTTCATATAAAATTTAATGTTATCCTTATACCATTTTCTGTAACAATATCAAGGTTACCAATATCCTGATATAAAAATCTAAAATCCTAATTATAATTTGACACATATACGAGGTCTGTTCAAAAAGTACCCGGAATTTTCGTTTTTCAAAAAAATATTTATTTATTCGTCTACATTAATGTGGTCCCCTTCAAAGTAGTCCCCCCCCCAGATATAATACACTTATGCCAGCGTTTTTTCCACTTTTCGAAGCACCCTTGATATTCACTTTTTGATATGTCCTTGAGCACTCTCAGCGATTTTCTTCAATCGAGGAAAACCGCCGTCCTTTCATGGGTCTCTTCAACTTTGGGAATAGGAAAAAGTCACACGGAGCCATATCTGGTGAATTTTTGCACTTTGCAACACTTTATTTCATTTTTTACGCAAAATTTAATACAAATTCTTTGACTTTTCAATTCTTCCATTGTAAAAATCGCCGAGCTCAGAAAAACACGTCAAACCTTAGCGACTACCACAGACAAAGTAAACAGTGAATATAGCTGAAAATATCATCATACTTTAGGGGCATGTATACCAACACAATAAAAAAAAAATTTTGACAATCAGACACTCCAGACCCGCGAAATTTAATTATTAGTAATTCCGGGTACTTTTTGAACACACCTCGTATTCATATGTTTGGTATATATAATAGCTCACTAATTTTTATCTAAACACATGCATGTTATTATTGATAATTTTGCTCAAAATTAGGACATGGCTATAGCTTTGTAGATAACAAATTTTAATTAAACAATAATAAAGTGTTTAATTATTAATTAAATAAGCTGACTGTCTAGTTTTTGCCCATTCAAAATATAATTTTTTTGATATTTTTTCTCCACATATATCGATTATAAAAAAAACTATATAGCAATAAAATAAACTTAGTTGAGTTCAATTTCATTACAGTTATAAAAATTTGACTTTTTTAAAAAATTAATACGAACTTTGATCAAGAGTTTCAATTTGCTTTTTAAATCTTTTTGAACGTTCGTATCTTTACATACAATATAAAAAACAAAATATTATTGAATACTTTTACATTCAAAATTACTTATTTACATCACATTAGTATTCTATTCTATATTTTATAGTTACTTGTAATTATTAATATTATCAATATATTTTATAATGAAAATATTAAGCATTAAATTATTTATTTTAATACATTTCATTAATAATTATTATTTTGAGAATTATCGGAATAACTTTTTAGAAATATCTTTGCGGTTTATTTATAACACAATTAGTTAGTTACTAATTTTGATGTTTGTTTCATTTCTGATTTCAATTCGTGAATTGATATTTTTCCAATTACAATTGAAATTAAGTCAACTATTTAAAACTTTAAGTCAAACCTTCTATTAACACCGACTTCTTTTTGAGAATCTCAAATATTAATATATTGAATCATTACTAATCTAAATATATTTTAATTGCAATTAATAAGTTGTCTATTATCGAATTGTTTCAACAAATTCAAATGCTTATTTAAACCACATTTCTCTAATGCGTCAAGTGAAATTATTGTTAGTATATTTCTCAGTTTAGTTCATTTCTATAATTTTAATTTTTTGCAATTTCAGTAGTTAAGCGGTAATAACAAATATATTCGGCATGAAGAATTGACAGAATATTGTTTATCGACGAGTATACTCTTTATTTTATAATAAAAAATTAAAATATATTCTCAAATTATATAACAATACTGTTATAAAATATAAAAATAGGTGTAGGTGGCATTGCACCTTAAAAACAGCAGATTACCTCGAATCTGACGATACAAATCTAAATTATAAATTATTATAAAATTGTAATAATGATAATAAAATAAATAATAGATTTGATGGAAGTCTTTTTTGCAAATTCAATTAATTGCAGGGTTTGTTAACTTCCCGTAGAGTAAGTTATAGTATTCCTTCAAGAATCTAAAATGATCATTTTGGTATACTTTAGAAAAATGCATGTGTGTGCATGTGTATGCGTGTGTGTTTTGTGTGGATACAATTTTTTGTCCGCGATTTTGGGCGTACGGATCAACCGATTCGAGATATTCAAAAAAAAAAAAAACATTCGATTTCTACTGATGAAGAGACGTGCTGATTTAGTTTCTTTTAATATTCAAAAACCAAAATGATTCGGATTATTTAATTTTTGTTTTCAAAGCGTGAATCAATATTTAAATTTTTCCAATTACGAATAAAATCAATTCAAATACTATTAACAATGGCTTCAATTTGAGAACCAATACTTGATTAATATTAATCAAAGCGTCTGGTTTCATTTCATATCGATATTGTTATATAACCTACCCGTAATCGTAATGGGCGATTGAACCCGTGACCCGACTGCAATGAGAGAATTCTTGTTCTGTCGCCTTATTTGTCTCATATATTGCCTTGTTTGTTATTTAATTGGCTCTGACAATCTGTACAATGTAACTACACTGGAAATCTCACACATAAACGAAAAGTGTCAATATTTGTGACCTATTTGATTGCGACACTTTCATAATGTTTGCTAATCAGTATTTGGGTATTTTCTATTTAACAATGCTCTTTAGAATGTAACAAACAAGTGGTCAATTTATTTGGAAAATTTTGATTAAACAAAAATACATAAAAGTAATTTTAAGTTCTAGTAAATTTTAGAGCAACATCTAAAAACTTTCTGCATATGCATATAACTTACAACATATACTATACCGAGCTTTTTTTAAACTTTAATTATTTTTTATTTTGAAACCACTTCTTATAGACCTATAATATTTCAAGGAGTTGGTTTTAACAATTTACTTTATATCCAGGCAAAGTTCCATACAAGTCATGGACGAGTAAAACAAAAGATCCCCTTGTTAGTTTCAAAAAAATACTGAAAGAAAAATCTGTTTCCTACATTTCTCACATTATTTCATTAATTTTCCTTAAATATTTACATTTTTTCTTTAATTTTAATCAAATTTATTCTCTAAGTAAGCTTTTTCCGCATCGAACTTGTTTTGATCTAAAAATATGAATAGTATAAAAAAGGTCATCTAATGCTTTTTAACTCAATATATGGCAATTTGCTGTAAGTTAAAGAAAATACTTTATCGGCTTATTCTCAAAAAATAATTTATTCTGTAAATCCTCTTATAGAGGTTCTGACAGCAAAAAATCCGTTTATTAACTTCCCGTAATGTAAGTTATTGTAATGGGCCGAAAACCGTAATTGAAAATTTTTACATTTCTCGACGTTTTGAAGGTTTCTGAACATTTTGGCATACTTCAGACAAAATGGATGTGTGTGTGTGTGTGTATGTATGTATGGATACAATTTTTCGTCCACGTTTTCGGGCGTACGGATCAACCGATTTGAATAGTTCAAAAAACATTCGATTCCTATCGATAAGAAGATGTGCTGATTAGGTTTTGGCAAAGGCAGGTCCAGCAGTTACGGAGATAAAGAGCAAAGAGTGCAGAAAATATAAATCGAGTTTTTGAGAGAACGGAGCACCCGATTCGAATGATCTAAAAAACATTCAATTAGTAATGATTGGGAAAAGTGGTTATTAGTTTTTCGCATAGGGAGGCCCGGCCATTTCGAAGATACGAAGCTAAATGTACAAAAAATGGCAGTTTTTGAGAGAACTAACGTCCGATTTAATTGATTCAAAGAACTTTCTGCTTGTCTTAACAAAATAATTAATTTTGGAAAAAAAAATCTGTTTCAACTTTTTTTTTTAATTTTTTGTATATCGAAAATAATTCAGATTTAATTTTAATTCTGACTATAGTTCTAATATACTTTACAGATAATTTCAACTTTGCAATTCAGTTTTCTTATAAATATTAGACAATGTTACAATATATAAATATTGTAACATTGTCTAATCTAATATTTATAAGAAAAAATAATAATTTATTAATAATAAAATAAAAATAATCTATTTGAAAACATTCAGTATTCCTCGAACACTTCGTTACGGTACGGGAAATTCCAGCAATTTGCCTTGAGGCACAATGCCACTCACGCCACTAGTTAATAATTATTTTAGTATAAATAAAGTTGATTGATAATTAAATTTACCTAAAAAACTTTCACCTTTCGATTCCGATGGTCTTGAACTTTTTGTTATTATAATATAAGACTAAACTAAAGTTGCATGGCGTGCCTTAAGGCAAATTGCTAGAACTTTTTGTACCGATACTTAATATTTTTAACAGAGAATATTTTACTTTTTTTATTGGACTTGCCCAAAAATTTAATCACTTCTTCCTTCAGTAAATAAATGTAAAATGTTTTTTAAATCATTTAAACCAGATGCTCCGTTGACTCAAAAACTAAATCGACATTTCTTGCACTTTTGCGCTGCCTTTGTCAAAAAACTAACCAGCAAACTAAATATTTGTATAGAAGAAAGAATATTTATAAATTAAATCTATATAACATTCGCAATTCTTATACGATAACCCCTAATATCATAATTTTCTTTTCGCGTATGTGTATCACCTATACCTAAACCATACCTAATCATTACATTTTACTTGGTTATACGCCTTATAACTACTATATCGTACGTTCCTTTACCACCACACCGTATACGCTCAATCCTTACACTTATACCTAAACCGCCTAACATTTATTATCTTATGCCTACAATTTCGCTTACATACTATTTTCACCCTTACCGGGAATCGAACCCCGGTCCGCCGCGTGACAGGCTACGACCTTAACCACTCGACCACCGTAACGGTACAATCAACCGTCTTTTTTCGTGTGTTGTTGCGTCACCTTAGTATTAGTTACTCAATTAATTAGAAAATGAACCAAAGAAACAACAGTGTGTTCCATAATATATTTTCAATGGGGGGATAGATAGAGTAGTGGTTAAGATGCGTGACTGTCACGCAGAGGAACCGGGTTCAATCCCCGGTATAGGCAATAGATAGGTAGAGATAATACATAGGGCGTAAGGTAGAAATAAAACACATTAATATCAAATAGGTATGTAGCGTGCCCGATATGTATATATATATACAATATATATGTATATATATATATATATACATATCATATATATATATATATATATATATATACATATATATACATATATATAATATATATATATATATATATACATATATATATATATATATACACATATATATATATACATATATATACATATATATATACATTTATATATATATATATATATACATATATATATATATATATACTATCTTAATCCGCCACTGTATATACATATATATATATATATATATATATATATATATATATATATATATGTGCGTGTGTGTGTGTGTATACATTATACAAGTAGTATAGTATATTAATTATACTTATTTATTTATTTATATAAATATATGTTTTATTGATCATAAATATTTTGCAGCTACGACTGCAGTTCCTTGCACACCTGGAGAAACCAAACAAGAGGTAAATTTTCTTTCATTAAAATTTCTTAAAATTAAATTGTTGATATTTCTAGATAATAATTTATTTGGATTCTTTCTTATTTATAAAAAAATATTTTTATTCTAGGATTGCAATGAATGCATCTGCAAAGCTGATGGTACAGGATATCAATGTACTGAAAGAGAATGCAAACATGACCCAGAATCGAAAGGTAAATTTATAATAGTTTTATTACTATTTCAATATTTACTTTTATTGTCAATACATTACGATATTATCTCGTTTATGGGTTTCTTTTATGCTTCATAAAATATTTAATAATAACTATGGTGAGATATAACCTTTTTTTTCAGAGTAAATAGAGATAATATTAGCTATCTTACAGTATATTTTTATTGTTCATCTTCCAGCGGACGATCATGGAAAAATTTGCGAACCAGGATCAACGAAGAAAGAAGTAAGTTTATTTATTATGTTATTTACTTACAATTAGTCGTAAAGGAATATTTTTGTAATTCATAATTTAAATATATTGAAAAGCTTGAAGATTAGTTTGAACAAAAATTTTCAAGTGTATTTGACGCATAGCGTATGATTTTTTTTTCATTTCAAGTAGCTTATAATTAAAAAACTTAAATTCCTTATGAACATAATTATATATTAAAAAAAACATAAATTCTTCTATAATAATAGGAACTGCATGAATATTATTCAAAACCCTGATTCAAGTTTTACTTTTTATACTTACATTTTTTATTTGAATACTGTTGCAAAAATAGTATTAGTATTCTTAAGAAAAATATAATGCATTTTATTCATTTATTTTGTAATTTGAGATCTAGTATCTTTATACAATGACTTTTTACTAATGACTGCAATTATTTTATATAACTTCATACACTAGATAGTTATTTTATATAATTTTCATTAAAGTAAAAACACAATAGATTATTTATCATAAATGTATTTTTAGGACTGCAATACATGCACATGTACTCCTGATGGTAAAAACTATATGTGCACATTGATGATGTGTGGACATCATCATGAAAAGAGAGAAACTGAAAGTAAGTTCGAAAAAAAAGTTTTTTTATATTTTATTAATTTTTTTTAGTATTGATTTATTGCATGTCGAATTTATGTGAATTTATTGCATGTCGAATAGAATAATTATAAATTTCAAATAACATCCACTTTTTATGTCCTAATCCACACAGTATTGTTTCCACCATTACAGCTCTTCAAAATACGGGCCTCAAAACCAATGGCTCTATAATTACAGATGTTGCAAACCTTGAAATAATAACTTAATGACAATAAGTAAATAATACAGAATTAAAATAGTATTTGCTAATACCAATATGCTAATATGCTTGTTAAATTACCACATTTAATTTTAAGTATTATAGTTTTATGTTAATAACCATGTATGGGCATGAACTTTTGATTTAATATAATATGTCGATGCTAAGCACATATGGTGCAATAACCTATTAACTTGGCCAAAAAAAAAACGATTTCGACTTCTTCCATTCAAAATGAATCTTTAAACGTCTTATCATGTTTTGATAAAAAATAAATAAATGTTCGAAATTGATAATCATAAAGCCACCACAAATAATATAGTATTATTACCTTTTCCAACACCAAAATGTTTTTAAATAATCTATTTCAAAAACTATCCGTTTTGATTTAGGTGTTCCCGACAAATGCAAACCCGGTACATCCAAAGTCATTGTAAGTTCAATTTTAGTAAAATTATTTCCCTTAGATTATTAAATTTGAGTTGTAATAATGTATTTCCAATAAGGATTGCAACATATGCAATTGTGCAGCGGTTGGTGTGTGGGCTTGCACTTTAAAGAGTTGCGATGGTGGAGATGATTCTGCAATTTTACGTTCTCGTCGAGCAGGTAAGAATTGATGGTAAACCTATTAATAAAGATTACATATATCCTTCTATTAAAGCAATCCTTTCATATCTTTCTGTTTGCAAATTTATAAACATATGAATATTTATATTAATTTTTTTTATTATTTTCACAGTTGAAGAAGTCAAAGAAGTCACCATTCGTAAGTACCATCATGAATATAGCAACTATACATGATGTATCGTTTTGGAACATTTTTCACAATATTTTTAAAAATCTTGTTTTAGAATCACTTGCAACTACGCCATGTACTCCTGGCCAAGAAACAAGATTGGTAAGCACCATCATGTAATAAACTAACATTAAATTTTACTTTATAATTTTGATATGGCGTTTTCTGGCAATAATTTATAAATTTATGAAATAGTAGATAATTTATGAATGTCTTACGCTTGACAACTTCTGTACAAAATGGGTACTGACTTATAATATTTTCAGATCTTTATTAATATAAGGTTGTCAAATATCTCCCTTCCGCCTTTGTATTATAAACCAAGAGCAAAAAAGCGGAAGGGAGATATTTGACAACCTAATATATTTTGTTACGATTTATACTAATTCAACTAATACATAATGGTCGTTCAAGTTGCTAGTATTTCATAATTGTGTGGTACAAGTATATAATTGATCGATTGATTATTTTATCATTATAAATATTTCATTTAATCACCAATTCAACTAAATTCCTAAGAAAAATAATTGCATTTTAGGATTGTAATACTTGCAAATGCGCCAGTGATGGAACAGGTTACTTTTGCACCCGCCAAGCATGTGCTCCAGTTCACCATCATAAACGATCAGGTATATTAATTATTTTATATTATTATAATTTTAAAAAATATATAAATTAATTATAAATCATTATATTTTTAGCTGAAGAAGTGAAAGAAGTGACTACAAGTAAGAATTGAGTTAATATTTTATTAGAAGTCAAATAATTATAATTCAAACCAATTTGTTTAACCATTTTCAGCTTCTTTGGCAACGACTCCATGCACTCCTGGAGAGAAGACTCAAATTGTGAGTTTATATTTTTGAATTATTTAGAAATATATAATAGGGTATCAAATAACGACTAACTGTTGTGAATTTCTAAGTTACTTAGTAACAAGGTTATGTAAATTGCGTGAATTTCATTTTCTAAAATTTGCAATGAATCTTTTCTATTGATTTTCGATTCCCCAACTTCGTATGAATGTGTGTATACGTGAAAAGTTTGAAAACGATTTTATCAATTCATAAAAGCTACTATTTGATACTATAATATATTGAATAATTTGTTTCAGGATTGTAATACTTGCACCTGTGCCAGGGATGGCTCTGGATACGCCTGCACTCGCAAAATGTGTTTGCCAGCCACCCACGATCGTCGACGTAGAGAAGGTATTAACTTAATCAAAAACTTTTCCTGATATTTACTTACACTGTGTACTTTATATGCGAACCAGTTTTATATTAGAATAAAATCTCAAACTTAAATATAATATTATTTTTAAAACATTGGAAATATTAATTAGTTAACATTTTTGTGAAAGCAAATAAGAATTGTTTAATATTTTGTAACAATACTAAATGAAAATCCATGGCTTTGTAATGCTTTAAAAACATATGATTATTTGTTGAATTCATTAATAAATTAGTTATCTCGTTATTTTCAGCTGAAACTGAAGAAGTCAAAGAAGTCACAACTGGTAAGCAATTTGAAATTTCGATACGCAAATTTTAAAATCTCACTATTTTCTGGGATATAATTTTAACGTATATTTCAGATACTTTGGCAACCACTCCATGCAAAGCAGGAGAGCAAAGACAAGTGGTAAGAATCATATATATGTAACAATTCTTTTATATCTTTAATTTTTTTTATTCTGGTACTCAATTTTTATACAAAATATAACTACATCATAATACATCTCCGGTTTTTGGTTACTAATTATATATATTTAAAATTTTATTATTATTTTTAGGACTGCAATACCTGCACCTGTGCCGCGGATGGAACTGGATATCAATGCACCCGCCAAGCTTGTGAGTTTGCAGTACATGATCGTAAACGTAGAGAAGGTTCGTTGTATAATTTGTATGATAATAAATGGTAGTTTTCTAAAGGCAGGTCCATAGTGTGAGGACACCACAAAACAATTATTCCCTTTCACTTCCTTATTTCCTGTACCATTTTATTACCAATAATCACTTTTTTATTCATATTCATGCATTTTCCTTTCCAAACCTCCGCTTGCATTACTCCTGGACCTGTGCTTCGCCCTTCAATTCCCTGTATTATCTCTTTTATAGTTTGTATATTTAATATTAATTTAAATATTGAAGAGAATATTATATATTTAAGAGACTCTAATTTTTCAATGAGTAAATCTATTTCTGTAGAATTTTTTAAAATGGCATATTTGCATTTATTAGTAGATTTATTTTAATCGTTTTATAATAATCTTCAACATAATTATTTTAATTGCAATATTATCATTTGATATCTGCCATCAACCAATATCATCCTACTTAATAATTTTTTATTTATTCCAGTTAAAGAAGAAGATATCAAGGAAGCCACAGCAGGTAAATTAATTCATTTTTCTTTGATTAAATTAGATAAACGAAAAGACTTTATACCAACTCATGATTATTTATGCATAAAATTCTATATGTATTTTGGCTAAAATTTATAAATTCATAAATTCTTTATATCATATATTTCTTATATATATTTTTTTTTATAGAAACACTAGCAACTACCCCTTGTACTCCAGGTGAAAAGGCTCAAGTAGTAAGTCTATACTTTAGAATATATATTCACCATTAGAATTAGTTCACCTTTAATTTAATTATTTTATTTTATTTATTTATTCCTAAGCAAGTCAATAATAATAAATGTTATTTCCTTGTCAAGCTTACAAGTAACTAAAGTGAAGTAATTTTATAATATACAAAGTAGCTGCGCAACGTCCGATTCTGAAATAGAAACATTAAACATTAAATTTAATGTTTGTCATCAAATCCTTCATAATAATGTTTTTGGCCGATTTAATGTTTTGATATAAAATTTGATTTGTAGACTGCAGATTTTATAGAAACCGACTATTATATCGGCAACATTATACTTACCAGCAAAATATCCTATAATACGTAAACAAGAGCAATATATCGTCAGATATAAAGTAACTCACTTTTTAAAAAAAAAAAAATTAAATGATTTTTGAATTTTTAGGATTGCAATATATGCACTTGCTCTGCTAATGGTACTGGATTCGCTTGCACTCGCAAAAGTTGTCCCGTGTCGACAACGACAGCCCACAGCCGCAAACGTAGATCAGGTAATAAATTTTTATGAAATCTATTTATATAAAAATTTATATTAAATTCATATTAAATTATCTATAAAAAATTTTATACAAAATAGCATTTAAATTATTAAATCACAACATAATAGTTTTATAGTGCTATATTAGGAAACTAATTTTGTTGAAGTTTCTGAACTACTGATATTACTTTTATTAATTTAATACACTGTGTGTTGTAAAAAATTAAAAAATTAATAAGTAATTAGATTTTTATCTGTCTATTTAATAACTTTTAATAAAAATGCGATAAAATGTACTTATCATTTATTTTTTTTTACTATGATATTTTTTTATTTCTACGCAATTTATTAAGATTAATTTAGTCCATTATTATTTGACTATAATATTTTATGCTTTTGAGAAGTAAAATATATGATGTTATTTCACAGACGATGAATTGGAGACAGAGAAATTACAGAGAAGAATGCACACCTGGCGAAAACAAACACGATGTAAGTACAAACTTTTTT